CACACTGCGAACTTCGTCTCACCGTACTTTAACAACAACATTAACAACAATAATAGCTAATAATAGCTCATAATAATATAATAACAATAAAATAATAATATAATAATATAGTAATAATATAATAATAATAATATAATAATAATATTATAATAATAATAATAATAATAATAATCTTCAATTTTAAAAATAATATTTATTTTAAAATTACTGGTATTATAATTTCTCATAATATTGTGTTTCATACGGCAATACGAAAAATAGCCAATTAGCTGATATTTTGTATATTTTTGTTTTCATTTATGTACAAAATAAGAGGAACATCAATTTTTGTTTTCTATGAGTGTAAGGAGGCATTTATGTTCACTTTCTCTTTGTCAGTGTGTGTATGATCGAATTTTCCTGTAATAGTCCCGTAGTACAATTGTGAATTTAATTCGAAAATGTTTGTGATATGAAATGAGGTATTTGTGAACTACATCTATGTATCCCACATGTCTGGGTAGAAATGCATTATTCGATCCTCACGATCTGTTTTTCAAAACTGCGATTTTAGGAAATTAAAACACTGCGCATCTGGAATTGTAATTTCATGGACATCAAATATAATGCACCTGCTGAGAAGCATGATAACATGCATTCAGCGAACGAAAATGAGCTCATCTAAAATCGTGACTAGGAAATTGCAAATGGGCAATTGCAAATGAGCAGTGACGTGTGGGAGTAAATACATTTGTATTTTCAATTAAATCTGTAATGGAGACATACATAAATAACAAATATTAAGAGATTATGAACCGATTGAAATCAACAAAACCCGAAAATAATTCTTTAAAAAACGAACAATTCGAAGTAGCAACTCGATAGAATAGTTCGAATGAATAAAATGTCATACACGTCATGATAGGTAACCGATGATCTTTGTTTTGTAAATAGTATGAAAGGGTATTTTATGAAAGGATATATGCATGTTGTATGGAAAAGTATTAAGGTTAAAATCATGGTATTGAGACAGTTGCGGATAAAAACTTGCTTTATAGTAATTAACTAAACTTGCCTTTTGCTATATAATGATTTATTCCTGAAGGTTTCATTGCCAAACCGTACCATTTATTCAGTTTTTCACCGTGTAGAGAACAGTTTGGTGCACTTAACAAATCTCGATTCGTATACCTAATTTTCTATTCATTTCGCATTCATTTCATTTTCATTTCATTTCATTTTCTGCATTTTTGGACCAAATTCTTTTTTTTCTTTTTTTCCCACGATGTCTACTTTTGTTTGAAAAGTCAAATGGATCTCCTGAAAAAATATTTTTGTATTGTGAATTTTTGTAAATGTTATGTGTAATGGTTAAATCTGGCCAATTTGCGAATCACATGAAAACATCCAAAATGGGTGAGAAAAGTCCAAGTGGGAACAGCTTCGAAGCACATATCGGACTTAAGTCTAATAAAGTTACGACTAACGAAAGGAACATGAAATTGCCTTTTGAGCACCGCCTATTTGTAGAAGCTAGTGGAGTATGCTCTTAAGTGCTTCTGTTGAGAATGTACTTACTAATTCTACCGATCCCATAGAACCAGTAATTGCGGTTGCTGCGACCAGATGAAAAGAAAACGCACGGTAACCCGATAGTTAAAGAAGTGCTTTTTCAAAGTAAACAAACTGGATGTTGACCGAGAGATAGGTTGTTCCATCAATGTACGAGAAACTTTTTCGTAAAAACATTTTACACATGTTTCAAATAAATTTAATTTAACTCTCGCATACGAACGATCTGTGAAGGGCAAACGTTATAAATTATCGCTTAGGATGTAACAACCGTAAATCGGAATACTGCCAGGGACCACGTTTTATATCTTTTAATTTTTCTATTATATCACGTTGTATAAATGGTTTTATCCTATTTTGGAGGAACCTAGTTAAACCAAAGGGCCATCTCCCAACTGGTGCATGCCTGTTCAAAAACGTTTGCTTCTTTCTTTCCAAAGTGTATGTAAATGAAACGGACTGCTTCAAGTTTTTTTTGTCTTTATTGCTGACGTGGATAAAAATGGTTTGTGATGGGTTGAAAAAGTTGTAAAAATATTGTTTTGAAATCTTTTGTAGATCCAAGGGATAACACATATGCTCTATAGACCATCCCGACTTCATTGGTAATAAGCAGTATTGTTTTGTGAATGGAAAAAATAGATGTTTATAAAAATGTTTCCGGTAATCAAATTGGAATGGAAAATGTTAGGTGAAGAGTAGGGGGAAAATTTAACTTTTCTGAAAATACAATAAATATATTGTCTGTCAACAAGAATAAGAATAGAGTATCTGCCTACAATGTAATAGAAAAAATGTAAATAGCATTCATCATAAAACAGAAACACACAGCGACTTACCCTGCACCCTACGTCTGGTACAGCCAAGCTGGGACAGCTATGTCAGCACACCCGAATGAAACATGACACATTATTTATTGCTAATTTATTGTTAATTAATTACCCCAATTTCGAAGTAATTGTCGCGTATTATCGCGGGGCAAACGGGCGCGAGCGGGCTTGACGCGTCACCCAGCGTCTGTGTGACGCCGGGCGGTGGGGAGGGAAGGGTCGCCAAACGCATTGGTGGGCGCGCGAGCGTCGGTGCTGACGACGGGAAGGCGCGCGCCGCGTCGTCGAGTGGCGTCTGTCGCCACCCCCGCTGACGAGCTGTTAACGAGAGGTGTTGGCCACTCGCAGCGCCGCGACGCGACGACTGCCGCGTCCGTTTCCTGCCGCTCCCACGCGCGCCTTTCTCCCTTCCGCTCCCTCGGGCCAGCCCTCTAGGCCAGGGACGCCCAACGTGCAAGGCCTTGGGGAAGCGCCCAACCAAAACCTCTTAATATGGTTTCGGGACGTATTTTTGTTACTCGGCCGATACACACGTGACCCCGTTTTGTTGCTCTCGGCAGTTTTCCTGGTTGCTCTGAAACAGGGGGGGGGCGGATGGAATTGAGGTTATTTTGTTTTCACTCGAAAAAAAATTCTTAAATCTAGACTAAACCTAATTGTATGTTAACGGGGTGTTAACCCTTCCAGGGCGCGTTCGTTAGGTTCAATATTCTCGCCCAACATTGTTGCAGGGGACTTTCACGTTTGTCTGATAACCTTTCGTGGGTCACAATGTATTGGGCCGCAAGTTGGACACCCTTCTGCTAGATGGACTCTTACAGAAACTACTTATACAACAGGTCACACTTTCTCGTAATATTTTTAACTTCGGCAATTTTTAGAAATTCGAGGATTGAGACCAACGCGAATT